GCCTCCTCGCCGTTGACGATACGAGAGTATCCCGTGATCACGGGAGGGATGGCGGGAGAGCCGCAACCTGATGACATCGTCGCCGCCCGCCGACGTCAGCGAGACATGAGGAACGTCGGAAAACAGACCTCGTCAATCGGGCTGTGCGCATCGCTGAATGCTAGCGCGCTCGTGCTAAGGCTCACTCACCGTAGGCGGCGCCGACGAAGGCGAGGCACGAGAGGATCCACAGGAAGGCCATGGCGACATCATGTCTTCTGCAGACGAACGCCGGCCTTTTATCCGGACGCATCTGCGCCTGATTGGACGAGAGGGGCGGGCGGGGCGTGGCCACGGAGGCACACGCTATCAGAGGACGTGAGAGTTTGGACACATGCAATCCCGGGAAATCTGCAGCTGGGCAAGTGCCAATGCACATCAATGTCAGAAAAAAAATTGATGTGTCGATCTATCTTTATGTATTTGTGTGTGTGCGTTTGTGTGTACAAGCAACCAAAGTTGATGATGTCTTGATGATTTATTGAAGGCTTTATGAATCGCTGATTGATGGTTTCGTGATTGATGCATTAATTGTATGTTGATGTTCTATTCCAGTGTTGCAAACAATTGAGGAGTCAAAGGTTGCATTATTTGGTGTCGGTAGTGTATGTCTATATATCAACATGTACTGGTATATGTTTTGATGGTATAAAACTAATATAGCTGTGTACGTTCCGCCCCATAGATTTATATTTGTATTTATATTCAATGAAAGACAACTACTTGGATATTCAATTCTATTTATTAAATATAGTGCACTTATGGATGCATTTGTGCCATTGTGGAAATGTAAAGCACATGTTGTGTTCTAATCCATCCAAACATCCAGTGTCAATCAATCAATCAATCTATCTATCTATCTATCTATCTATCTATCAATCTATCTATCTATCTATCTATCTATCTATCTATCTATCTATCTATCTATCTATCTATCTATCTATCTATCTATCTATCTATCTATCTATCTATCTATCATCTGAAGCGCTTATGCTCAGGGGGGGTCATGCCGGAGCCTCCCCCAGCTATCTTTGGGCAGCAGGCAAGAGACACCAATCACAAGGGCCCCCCCCCACCTCCCATAGACGGACAACCATCCGCTCTCACAATCACACTCTGGGACATTTTCGAGTGTTTCATTAATCTGTCAACTGTGTTTTTGGAATGCGGGAGGAATGTTTCACATCTGTGGAGATATATTTGGAACAATCTTATCAGCAGCACCGGAGGATTTCCCAGCCTGAACGGCTCACTCAACATTTCAATCGGATTCAAGCCCAGACATTTACGATACCACTGCAGAATTTTTTTTTTTTTTAATTTAAACATTGAAAAGGTGACTTGCTGATGACCTTTGGATGGTGTTGCTGCAGAACTTCAGTGCGCTTCAGCTTGTGGTTACCGACAAATGGCCAAACATTTCCCCTCGGGGTTTTCTGATAAAAAGCAGAATTCACGGTTCCATCGATCACGGCATGTCGCCCAGGTCCTGAAGGAGCAGGGCAGCCCCAGCCCATCACACTGCCATCTCCGCGTTTGACGGATTCTTGGGTGTCCTTTTTTTCTGTCATCTCGTGCTCCATTTATCTCACCTTCCAAATAGTTCAATTTTCATCTTGACAGAGCATGGAATATTCTCATATTCTGACAAACGTGTTGGGAATCATTTTCATCTGTTTCATTCATTTATTTATTCCCAAAGTAAGATGAACCTTATCCTCTTTTTGTTCCGCGGCACTTGCTGCCTTTGCTTCTTCTTTTGAAGTCCATGACTGGGGCAAACTCGGTGATTCATTAAAGCATGAGCCCAACTTGTATCATTTCAGGGAAGATCAATAACATCGTCGAAACAAGTTGCCTCCTTCCATCTTAGCCTTTGTTTGGAGTTTTTCTTGTTTTTTTTTCTTAAACCCTCATTTATTAATAATAAGAATACATTTGATTTCCGAGTGCCCTTCACAACACTCAAGGACACTTTACAATCAAGGACAAAACTTGTCGTGTCGTCTAAAAATGCTTGTTGTAGAAATTAAAATTGTCTGATTGAAGTAACGTGGCTTCTATGTCGATATAACAAACTCAAAATGTATGTCATCGACTTCAAGATCGGGAGATTGAAAGAATGATTTGATCAGTGTACTTTTCTCTGTTTGGAGTCCAAATTGGCCGGTATTCCTCAAGGTGAATTGAATTGGCTTAAAAATGAAAATGACATTTTTTTGTTATTTGATGAAGGTCGAAGGCCGGGGCTCTGATCTTCATCTCTGAAACTGTTTGTTTGGCGTGCATTCATTCATTCATTGCCGATTGACACGATGCTTTGCCGACGGGATCCAGGCTTGCGCCATTTCTGAGGCGAGCCAGTAGTTCCTGGCAGTTGTCGGTGAAGCATCACAAACAAGAGGGGAACAAAAAAGGCGGAGAGGGTCCACGCGACCCAACATCGCGTCTCGCACCAAAAATCTGACAGCGGTGGGAAAAAAATCCATCCATCCATCCAGTCATTCATCCATTCATCCATCCATCATCCATCGAGCAGGTTTTTGAAATGCGGGCGGAAACCGGAGTACCCGGAGAAAAGCCACGCAGGCAAGGGGAGAAGAAGCAAACTCCACGCAGGAAAGCCGGACTCCGGAATCGAAGCCCAGACCTCTGCGCCGTGAGGGCCACACGGTAACTAGCCGATCGCCGTGCCGCCCGGTGGGGGAAAAAAAAAAACATACCAAAGAGAAGATGCGAAGTAAAAAAGGAGCAACTGAAGGTGAGGGTTGGAAGGTTAGGCGCAGGGGGAGGCTGAGGCGGAGGCTCACTCACACAAGTCATGAAAGGCAAGATGAAAATAAACGTCATGACTAAACTGCGGTGAATAAGGCTCTGATGGCGTGTGGTTGTGGTAGCTCGTCACTTTTATTAAACATTCCAGTGTGGAAACAGAGGTTGTTTTCAGTTGGCGGCCATGGTCTGGTCCATCCAGGCGCGGAGTTCGGTGACGCGGGCGTAGACGCCGGGCATAGTGGGCGTGCACGTTCCGCTGCCCCAGGACACGATGCCCACCAGGGTCCAGGCGCCCTCCTTCTGGCAGACCAGGGGGCCGCCAGAGTCGCCCTGCAAAAGGACAAAGAGAGAGCCCCTTGACAAATGACAGCATGACACCACCGCTCCCACCACACGCTAGCCTGTCCTGTCCTGTCCTGTCCTGTCCTGTCCTGTCCCGTCCTGTCCTGTCCTGTCCTGTCCAGTCCTAGCCTGGCCTGTTCTGTCCTTCTTGGTTCTCATCAGGCGGAACTAGCCATGTCCCGACGAGTCCCTTCCTGCTTTGGCCCATCCCGCCCTGTGCTGTCCTGGCTTTTCCCATTCTCTACTAGACAAGTGATGTAGACCTATACGGACTTGGTGGGAAAGACTTACGACACGATATTTATCAGGACAGATTTGGTAGCACAGACTCAGTCGCAGTTGACACCGAGGAGGTCACCTTGGCTAGTAAAGACGAAGTAGTCGGTACACTTGTTGGTAGATGCTTGGTAGCGGACACTTGGAATATTTGGCAGTACAGACGCGGACATAAAACTCTTGAGAGTAATGGAGACTTGTCACCTAAGACCAAGTACTGCACACTTGAAGGAAGGCACTGCGCATTCGTGGACACTTTGCAGTTAGCAGAAACTTGACAGTAAATCTCAGCCCACCATGCATGATGAGGCTCCGGAGGCTCCGGCGCAGATCATCAGGTTGCTGATCTTGTTGCCCCAGAATCGGCGGCACTGCTCGTTGGTCATCAGCGGCAGGGAGGCCTGCTGCAGGAGGGCCGGCGTGTCGGGAGCTGAAAGGCAAGCGTAGGCTCGGGGTGAGGGT